TGTACACGCACGAATCCATCGAGTAAAATAAAAATAACATCAAAAAATAATAATGCTCAAAAAGGCACGGACGTTTGTATGTCTGTGGGTGTTAGACTTACTCAAATTGACGACACGTTTGGCTCAGTGTGTAGTGACCCTACTTGCTGTGACAACGGTCGCGGGTTCTAGTCCCGCTGGGGGCATTCATTGTGTGATGAGCACGAATGATTGTACTCCAGTCATAGGTGTTTATATTTATAATATGTATGTATTATATATATATATATATATAGTATATATTATAGTTTATGTGTAGTGTATCAACTATCCGGTATCCATAACACAAGCCTCGTAGCTCACCATGGAACTAGATGGTGCTGTGTGTTAATGTCCCAACATATTTATTTATTTAATTATCCATTATATATATATATATATATATATATATATCCATTATATATCCAAGCCAAGTTCAGTTATTGAGTTTTCTGGTTAAGAAGTTGTCAGTAACAGTCCGGAGTTGGGAAGTTGGCGGTGTTTACCCTCGTGCCCGGAAAGCGAGTAAAGTGTGAATGCCTGATCTCTCGACGGAGCTGAATTGATGCAAGATTTTGTATTATTTTTCCGTAAGCTGGCAATATTTGTATTCAGCCCTTTTTTAACGTCCCATATTGCTGGTCACAAGCCTCCTCTTAATGCCCTTTGTAAACCATTCGCCATTATCTACCAAATTTTGGTAAGTTTGGCAAATGAGGGTTGGACTTCATATGTCTTTCGAAAGCTCCCTAAGAAATGCGGGCCTCACGATCTTTTGCTTCTCCATAAGACAAGGTAATCATGTTATAAATGATTTACACATAAGAAGATCAGAGGTACAAGACCCGGGATTTGAACCCGTTTCACTTGGCTTCCCGAGTGCTTTACCACTAGGTTTCCGCTTAATTTATTAACTAGCAATATATATTTTTTACATTTGTACTATATAGAACATGACATCGCGTTAAGGTCGTTCAAACATTCCTTTTATCCTAATACTTGACCAATATATATTGTTACTGAAAACGATACGACACGCTTACCACAACTTTGTACACTGTACCTATAATAAATCACTTCACTTTACTCGTACCTACTGTATGTACGTGTAATAAAATAATTATAGTTTTAAAAAACTAAAAAAAAACACGCTTTAGATGAGGAACTCTAATCATATGAACCCAAGCTCGAGGGGTTTATTGGTAGCAACTGAAGAGTTCCACTATGCTCCTTCTGGCTCCATCATCAGATCAGATCCGAGATACCAAATTATGGTACTGTTTTTCGAACTATATCTGCATACAAAGTTTCATTTTGGTACGACAATTTGAAGTACATTAAAATTAACTTAGATTTGATCACATTGTTAGCTAGTTGCTTAGTCACAAGTGAAGCTAAATGGAATGTTTATATATATATATATATATATATATATATATATATATATATATATATATATATATATATATATAGCCTTCCTCAATAAACGGGTACTATCTAACTATCTAATGCATAAAGAATTTTTCAAATAGAATTAGTAATTTCTGCGATCAACGCGTTTAGACATACAAAATCTTCCTCTTTATTATCATATATCTAATGTTTCGGCTAGATATATTATTATATATCTAGCCGAAACATTATATATATTTTTTTAAAATCTTCTTGAAATAAATAAATATTATTATCGATACACAGGCCGAATCTATAGTTTTAAGAAATTTTGTATGTCTGTCTGTCTGTCTGTTACCGCATCACAGAAAAACCACTGAAGGGATTGATTTTGATGAAATTTGGTATGGTGATAGCTGGTTATCCGGGTCAACATATAGGATACTTTTTACCCTGGGAATATATCTCATTTCTGAGAAAAAATACAAAAGCTGCAATGTAAGAGTATACTAATATGTAAAACCTAAGAATTTGGTTTTCAGTCATCTGAACGCGAGCGGAGCCGCGGGCAATGGTAGTATTATAATATAATCTATATTAATATTCTTAAAAGGCAGAGTTTGTTTGTTTGAAAGCACTAATCTCGGGAACTACGAGTACTAATTCATTTTGAAAAATTATTTTTGCATTAGATAGCCCGTTTATTGAGGAAGGCTATAGGCTATATTATAGTCTATTCCATACTAACCGTTAAACGTGTCAAATACCTATAAAAGCATTACCCTTCTTCTGAGGCAGTTGTGTAAAAAATCCAAAGTCCAAGAGATACAAGAGGGAAGGAAGTTCTTTATGAAAAATCTAATACTGTACAGGAGTAAAGTGTTAATAATACACACGTACTTATATATTTCATAATTTACGACCCACGAGTCTTAATCGACCTGTGATTAATAAACACCAATTTAACAAAAAAAAAACTAATTTCTTTTTAATATATTGTCAAATTGTTTAAATATTACGCTACCTATTAATTACTATGTAATGGCATTAAAATGTAATTATTTTACAAATAATATATAATTACTACCGTTTAGTAGCCGGTATTTTAAGTCACCAATCCGGTTTAGATTCAAAAATCGCACTCGCACCTACCTTACTTTATGAGAAAGTTCTACTTTTAACAAAAGAAATGTTACATAGTCATGTCAAAACCTTATGTATACATATAATAAAATTGTAACTAAGCCGAATCTGTACATTAAATATTTTTTGGAAAATCTTATTGAAATAGACATTATTAACGATACAGAGGCCGAATCTATAGTTTTTAGAATTTTTTTTGTCTGTCTGTCTGAGACCGCGTCACGGAAAAAGCACTAGACGGATTTTGATAAAATTTGGTATGATAATAGCTGGTTGTCCGGGTTAACATATAGGATACTTTTTACTCATGGATACATAATATCTCATCTCTGAGAAATCTATACTAAACGATAAAACGTATGTAGGGTCGAACCCGAGCGGGGCGAGGGTGTGTCGCTAGTTTATTATAAAAACCGTACTTTACTTAGTAAAGACTGAACAGTTATTATTGGTTATTTTGAAATCAAAGTACACTTCGAATCGAGTATCCGTCAATATCTCTATCTCTATACCAAATTTCATCTAAATCGGTTTAGCGGATTAAACGTGAAAAGTTTACAGACAGACAAACAGAGTTACTTTCGCATTTATAATATTAGTATGGATGAAAATGTCAACTATAATTACGACTGAGATATTGAAATTGTTGAAAGTAAACTTCTAAGCCCTTAGTTAGTCCTATCGAATGGTTCCACAGTCGCTATTTATATATAAAAAAAACTATAAGCTGCTATACCCAACTTTAAGCCCCAACAGAAATTTAAAAATTCACCAACCCATAAAAAATTATTAAAAATACAATAAATAAAATAGATCCTTAAAAAGTCAGAAATAATAGTATCATTTCATTGTAACTAAAGACACAAATCCTTTAGACAAAACAAAACCTTTGAGACGTTTAAAACCTTAGTCTCTCCCGTGATAATGATTGCTGTAAAGCATTCGAAACTTCGGGTACCAAAAATCAAAATAAATCGGCTAAAAAAAATCCGAAAACATAGTTTTATTTAAAATATTGGCGTAAATCTAAGAAAATATAAAGGCACAAAAATATTAACATTAGGTATCTCTCATCTATGCGTAATGCTACCGCTAAATTAAAATGCTCTATTTTTAGAGTTTAAGTTTTTTAGAGGCTAGAATGGACACCTTGAAATTCATAACTGAAATTTAAGAGGTACGTATTTCGTATGAACCACTGGACAATTCTGTGGTCAAATTATATATAATAAAAAATTACACGTTTGAAGTGACTTTGATAGTTTGTCTTTCATGTAGTAATAGACAATTTTTTTTTTAATTTACTTAAAAACAAGCTTTGACCTTTGTGACGTTAGTTCAGAAGTCCTTTAAGGCCAGAATTATGATTTATATATACTACTATTAAAAATTAAATAAACTATACGTTTTTTAATGTATGCATACCACCTGCATACATACAGATCGTTGTATGGGAACTCAGCGACAAGAGAAGACATTGGAGGAAATAAATTATACTATGAACTATCAACTATAAACCCTTGACTTTAAAAAACCTTTAATAAATTGGAGCTCATAATAAGACCAAAGCTTTATAACCTACACAATAATTTCTCAGTGTGAAGTGTCAAGCAAAATAACAGATACATCAAATAACAATATTAAGGAAATTTGCCTTAAGATATGCAATCAAAAAGTTTTAACTAACTATTGCTGTTGGCTACGGCTATATTTATATTTAGTCTAAAACTAAAAAGCGTAACTCCCGCTAACATATGGGATCTCGCAGGACGTAAGATGAAAACTTCTCTTAGGATACAAACTCGCAAATATGTCACTGTAAAACATACATACATATATTATGTACTGGCGATTCACCTCACCTCTCTTCGTTTAGGGTCCGTCCCTAGACAAAAATAAATCTATCCCATGGGATTCTCAGGAATAAAAGTAACCTATGTGCTATTTCAGACTATAATCTATATCTGTGCCAAATTTCATCCAGATCCGTTCAGCCGTACTGGCATGATTGAGTAACAAACATCCATACATCCTCACAAACTTCCACATTTATAATATTAGTAGGACATAGGTCACAAAGAAAATAGCAACCTATAATAGTTAGAAAAAACATCAATTTTTCGAGAATTATTTTCACTCCACACAGAATCGATCTCGCGACCTTTAACTAGATAGGCAAGTACGAAATTATTTGACCATACACACACTATATATATATTGTATACTTTTCAAACAAAATCTTATGTAAAATCTAGTTATAATATGAAGAAATTTCTAGAAAAGTCATATTGTAAAGATATTAAGTTTTTTTAAATCAATTAATATAAACTTTAATTCAAAAAGAGGATTTTATAAGGGAGTGGAGGTCTCGAATTTAGTATATAACGGAGGCACACTCGAGCAAAATTATCAGTCTCACTTAACAGTCGAGAGGATATACAACAACCATGTACGCTAAACTGGTGAGATATTTATTTATTTATTGATTATTATTAATAATAAAAATAATATTTATTTAAAGTATAATAATATTATATTTAAAATTTGTTGGTATTTATTCGTATTAATTAACTGTGATATTTATATTTATTTTTTATATATGTTTCCATATCATTTATTTGTTATATAGTGTTTATTTTTTTATTTTTATGCGACAATTATAATTATTTCACCTTGTGCATTAAAATAGATTTAGTAAGTTGAAAATGAATTTTGCGCGATTGTTCCAAAATAACATAAAGTTGCTAAATTAAATAAAAATTATTTATAAAAATATGTGTAAATGCCATTTATTTTAAATAAATTAACTTTTTAATGAATTATTATATTTTTTAATATTTTAATTTAAATAACATTTTAAATTTTTCATTTACGACATAATAATATTTATTTCGTTCGTTTCGTTTATTTCTTGTATTTAATATGTGTTATAAAAAATATTTAATTAATATAACTTAATCATTTTTAAGGGCATTGGCACGAAATTATTTATTTTATTCTAATGTCTTTAATATAATATGCTTGGCAAACGTAATAGTTATAGAATTTTTCTAAACTTTACATTGGAGTCATTTTAAAGTTTCTCATAAAAGGGGGCTGATAAAAAAATGATAACATCGAATACATCTACAAATACTTGTAGGTTGTTGGCAGTATAATCTTAATATACTTACATGACATGACTTGTACAGTAATATCTAAGTGTACATATGTTTTGTATATATATATATATATATATATATATATATATATATAACATATAATACAAAAAAAATACTTACAATATACAGTTAATTAAATTATAAATCAAATCTATTATAAATTTTATATTACATAAGATCTTACAAAAATAAGGAAATAATGCTTCAGTGCCTTTCGCGTGAACAAATAAACAAAATACAATATCCATCACTCACTATTTGTTAGAGTAGCAAAAATCTTTTAGACGGTATGTGGGTTCGAATCTTATATGAGCTCAATTTATTTCATACATAGTGTTTTATGTATTTAATTCGATATTATAGTTTGGGACCAGCACCCAATATGCAAAAGAAATTAAAATAATATTAAAAAAATTTTGGGTAGCAATGTTCTAAAAGCTGCATTTTGAGTTACTAGATCACGTATCAAAATTGTTTGATTTTTTAATATTTTATATAATTTGTTTCAAAGGACAAGTGGTAATATTTTGTCACTTAGATACTTTAGCTTACTTTAAGCTAACAGCGCTTTCAGCAATAACTGAAAGTTCTAACGCTAGTGGAAGTCTATTAGAATAAACAGCCCCGGACATCAAACCTAAAACCTCTCGCATAGAAAGCATTGTCAGTTACAATCCAACAAAATACACTTGACGTGACATATGATCGTTTTCATTCGATACGAAATAAGCGTTGCGCAAACGCATGTTCTGCACCATTTAATTTGGCAATGTAACGCTGTACCTAATTAAGTTGCACAAAGAAAGGAAGTTACCGAAAATTCTCTAAAAAAAACGATTAAATAGTGCAATTTCACGGTTTCTTTCCGATACGATTGATTTATTAGCTTAAAATAAATATAATTCTGCTAAAATTAATGATATATTTGAATAAGAGTGTTATTTATTCTATACAGTTATAAAAATCGTTGGAATTATTAATTGTCATTGCCGTTTTTGCCGTTTAGCTATACAGAGAAAGGCATTTTTCCCAAAGAAATCAAGGATTTAGCATTAAAATTACACGTGTTTTAAATAAATTATTTGGTACTTAAGACATTATGTTATAGGCCCAAAACAAGAATGCTGATTGTTTTGATCAAAATCAAATTTTGAACATTACAAATCTAAATTGTTGAACAATATGTAGGCGACATAATGGTATGGCATTTCATTGAATTTATTAGGTACCAGTATGTCCGAATTAGCATTACATACTTGTCGATATGAACGGGTGTCAATTACTTCGATAAATCTATTACTCAAATATAATCGATTTTATAATCGACTCTTATTTGACTGCGTCTTAGCTCGCTAGGTAATCGATAATAATTGCTAAATTCTTAAAATATCTTACTCTATGTTTTTGTCTATGGGGAAAAAATATGTGAAGTTTTTAAATTGGCGAAATACAACGAAATACGAAACTGTAACTCCTGAGTGACATATCTAAGCGCTCTACATAAGCGACATTAGTCATACATACATATTTATATATATTTCAATTTCAAGGTTAACTTTATTATAATCTTGCAATTAAAAACTTAAATATAAGTGGATAATTACGATTTATATGAGAAAGTTTGTTTGTTACTCTTTAACGCTGAAACGGCTTCTATATGGACTATGATTTGAATTGAAACATAAGTTACTATAAGGCACCTAGAGACGCGCCCGAGCGGAGATAGGGTTAATCACTAGTATGAAATAAAATAGTTTACAATAAATATAGATCAAATAATGTATTTTTTGCTCATGACAGTTCATCGTCTGCGTCGTCGCTGTGGTAGCGCTCGCCCGCGAGTACCCAGCTGGACTCCATCCCGCAGTGTGCCCCAACTACCCCTACTGCGATACAAACACCTTCGCAAGATTCACCCCGGACGGCATGCCTATTCCTGAATGGGTCTACAACCCCTCTATCCTGCCCGTAGCACCCGCTGAGTGAGTATTTCGTTAAAATTTCGATTATTTTTCCTTTTTTTTAAACCTATTGTTTATAGATTTATCATGAAATAATCAAAATGTTGGTTTATTTATTCTGTATTACTCATTATATTTAAGTTTTAAGCTCTAATAAAAAATTTTTTTTCAGCCCCAATGCCAACGTTGCCCCTAAATACCCCGCTAATTTCAACGCCGCGAGTTGCCCCAACTACCCCTACTGTTGGTGAACAGTTTAGTCACAGCGGCCTGCCCTCCGGATTAACTTGTTAATGCCAGATTCTACAAACGTTACCATGACACTTCATTTTTTTTTATTCCATGAGGCAGTAGTCTCATGTTCAGTAGAATACTGTGCTTATTAACAATGTTCTGCCATATTTTTCTGTACCTTATTGAAATTGTATATAACTGATTTTTGCTAAGCATTTGGTTTTTTGTAAAAAAAATTATGTAAAAATTGTAAATAAATATGGTAAAATTATATATTTATGTGTTTCAATTCATTTCCTACGACAAGCTTGTTTTGATAAAAGTTCAAAGAATTAAATAAATGAATAACAGGTCGTAAAAGTCAATGTCTGAATCATATTAAAAAAAATCGATAAATTAACGTATGTAATCATATAATCCATAGATAGATCTCATGTTATTTTAAAGTACAGATTGTAGAAAAACACAGATTAGTAATAAAAGCAAATTTAAAATTCTTGCAGTTTTTATTATTAATGTGATAATAAACAAAGTGAATATGATGTGTGAAGACTTTACTTGGAATTTTGTATTAGCGCCTAAGCTAAAAACAAACATTAATACCAAGTTTCAAGTAATTCTGATCATAAATAATTTTTCGGGTAACGTGTTTTCCAGTGGAAATGTGATGGTCTCCCGCGGTAAAAAGTAGACTATGTCACTCTCCAGCCCTTCAACTATCTCCACACAAAAAATCACGCCAATCTGTCACTCCGTTTCAACGTGAAAGAAGGACAAACAAACAAACACACTTACACATTTATAATATTATATTAGTAATTAGTATATAGTAATTATATAGAGTTTTACAAGTAGTATAGTACGGATTGTTTTAAATATAAACTTTATAATAATATATATAAAGTTAGTAGGCTGCTACCAGTGGCAAAGGGTCCATACAAGACGTCTTATAACTCGCGTCATCTAAAAAATAAAAACCGACTTCAAACAAAAGCACTAAAAAGTAAGAAATAACTGATTGGTAGTTTTCATTTACTATACATACCTAATCAAATATTTTCGAAGTCGGTGTGCTTTGCTTTGTATGGGCTGGCACCGATTTCGAAAATATTTGATTAGGTATGTATTTAATACGTAGGCTTTAATTACCTACTTAGCCAAAGCACACCGACTATCGATCAACCGCTTGTTATACTTGAATAAAGCAAGTAAGTTTTCTATATTTTATTGAAATTGACAACTCTTCATAGAAACCATAGCATGGAAACATGTCGACACTTTCTCATAAAATAAAATTCTGAGTCAAATCTGTATAGTTTTTAGAATTTTTGTCTGTCTGTCTGAGAATGCATCACGAGAAAACTACTGGACGACAGATTTTGATGAATTTGGAATGAATTTGGAAATATGGCTGGTTATTCGGGTCAACATATAGGATACTTTTACTGCGGGAAAATATCTCATCTTTAAGAAATCTATACTAAATGTTAAATCGTAACTAGGGACGTACCCGAGTGAGGCAAGGGTAATCCGCTAGTTTAGAATAAAATTAAACACAATATAGCAAAAGGCGTTAACAATATACCAAGAATTATATTCGAAAATTTCATAAATACATATGACTTCAATATCAGAATTTTAAAATAGCACTCGCTTTCATTTCCTCGATTCAACGTATACAAAGAAACAAGTTTTTACTGAATTTCATTTACCTTCATTCGTATGAAAAGGTTTTTATTTCCAGCTCTTATAATAGTAATTTATTTTTCAAACAGTTTCTGGTTTCCGAGCATTGGCGTAATTTACATAGACATGCCACCATAGACATAATACACATAGAATAGTCAAGCCGATCAAAAATGTGATGTCCCGATAGAAAGAGACAAAAGAATAACAGACACTTTTCTATCTCCTTTTATTATTAATTTGTTTTAATATAATTTTTAAAGATTAGAATGTACAATAATAAACGAACCATTTTTAGTGGGCAATAACAACAAAATCAAACACAACAAAAAAAATAGTTAAATCGGTCCAGCCGTTCACGCGTGATGGCGTGACCAAGGGTAATAGGGATCTCTCTCTCTATATATATATATAGAGAGAGAGAGAGATATTATACATCTTCATCATTATCTCCCTGCCCATTTTTCAATCACTTCGGGTCGACGCAGTTCATCGTCCGTACAGCTGATAGGATTTGGCAAAAGTTTTACAACCGGCCGCCTGCCTGACATCAACCCTCCTTGGGAATAATATAATAAAATTATATATCTATACATAAAATAAAATTGTAACCAAGCCGAATCTGAATAAACATTCCTATCGTTACAGATGTCCTAAGAGCCTGTGAACGCCAGACCTTCGTCATAATATAAAAGCTGAAAGAAGGTCTGGCGTTCACGGGCTCTTCCTCTAAGAGGCCGAATCTATAGTTTTTAGAATTTTTATCTGTCTGTCTGTTACCGCATCACAGAAAAACCACTGGAAGGATTTTGTTGAAATTTGGTATGAAGATAGCTGGTTATCCGAGTTAACATATGTGTAAGATACTTTTTACCGCGGGAAAATATCTCATTTTTGAGAAAAATACAAAAACTGCAATTTAAAAGTATACTAATATGTAAAACCTAAGAATTTGGTTTTCGGTCATCTGCGATCATCTGCGGTCAATGATAGTACATAATATAATAAAACAGCAACATCGTAAAATCTGTACCTATATGAAATATTATAAAAAAACTAGCGACTCACCCTCGCTCCGCTCGGGTTCGTCCCTGGGGTGGGGTCTGGGAGGACCACCCTTATCCTTATCACTTAGGGGTATGGAAAATAGATAGTAGCCGATTCTCAGACCTACTGAATACGCATATAAAATTTGGTAAAAATCGGTAAAGCCGTTTCGGAGGAGTACGGTAACAAACATTGTGACATGGAAATTTTATATATAAGATATTTCTTTGCCTTTATGTCTATTTGTCTATTTTCTGTATATCTATGTGTGTCTCACGCAAAAAGTACTGAATGAATTTTAACACCTCCAGGTAAACTAAGAAATTAATTAAATTTCTAAGAAATATATTGTTAACTGTAACGACGGCGTGTCCGCGGTCGTGGAGGGATTATCACAATTTTGTGTATTTATAACTCATTACTCGGGTCAACATTTAGGATATTTTTACTACATGAAAATCTTTGGTTCACACGTGAAATCACAATAACTGGTTCTGTCGAGAGGATTTTACATGTGTCTCCATATATCCTAAGGTAAGATCACAATAAATTTTAAACTATAAAAAACGTATCTAGCGACGCGCCCGAGCAAAGCAAGGGTAAGTAGCTAGTGAGATTGCAAAACTTGTCTAATTATCAAGCGGATAACATAACCACTATAAAAATAAACAACTATTGTTTAAAAAACCACAAATATTAACAAAAATATATTTAGTGTACTCCCAACATAAATGATGATAGTTTAATAACAAACAGATGTACAAATTATTTCGCAATGCATTGTATTAAAATGCGTCACCCATTATGGTGCTGCAAGGACGTGTATCCGAACGAGTTTCCCGCGCTGTCAACAGTTGCTTAATTATGGCGCGAAATGAATATAAATCGTTGAAGAATTACTCTTTTACACAGAACAATGTATTTACTTGTTGATGAAAGAACCGATACCGACAGTAATATCATTCGAAATATGTATTGATGACTTAAATGATACGTATGCGGACCTTCGACCCTCAAAAGTGTTTTTTTTTTTATAATATTTATGTATCCTTTAATTACTATACCCTTGGAGTATAACATATTGATTAAAAAAACGTGTGTGTACGCACGTAAGACCTTATATATCTTTGGCGTAACAGAACAAAATAGCTAAAGATTTCATCCCGTATGTCACAACTCTCTGTTTGTAAAAGGAATGCAGCTAACTTCATTATGTCGCTTTCAGCTAACTTCATCATGTCGCTTTTTGGCTGTCGGTGTGGGCGCGCATCGTAAAAATTTTACTCTCATAATTTTTCCAAACGTCCCAAAAGAAATATCCCTTGAAAAATATCGTGAAAATCGGTTCACAATTGTCAAACGTAACATAGAGAATAAATGGGAAACGAGCGAGTCTAACTCGCACACGGAGGGTTCCGTGCCACCAAACCTTAGTGTTATGGTTATTTTATTATTAAATTATTTTTTTAACTACAAGTATCTTTCATGGAACTCTTCTCTTTTAACTCACGGATAATATTGTATATTAATTAAAAAGAATTTCTTTCGGAAGCGGTCCATATCCCTAATAAGGGACTGTTTCTGACCAATGATATTACTATTTAACCTTTGATTTCTGAAATTAGAGGGAAAAGGACACAAGATTTACTACTGTTGTAGAGTATAACTCAGTAATAGCTTAAAAAAGTAGTTCTTCTAAAATCTATTTCATTTTAAAGATCCATCAAAAGATATCTACATATGTATATATATTCAATATATGCATATTGTATATGAAACGCCGCCTCATTTTTTATTTTTCATAATCTCACTACTGCCCTAGTTCACTTTACATTTTGGTTCCAAATTTCAGCTATACAGTACCAACAGTCTCCAAATAAAATGGTTGTAACATACACACAGATGACTAATTTAAAAGGGTTTCGTTTTTTCTTTTGGCTACGGGACCCTAATAAACTATCTCTTCCTTTGTGAATTCAGTCAATAAGGCCTATAATGAGAAGATATATTATGAGAGATCTGTGATATAAATACTTATTGTTTTGTTTTTTTATAGATAGACAAACAAAACGAACATTTTCCATGCCTATAAAGTAGATAGCTGATTAATATGACTAACATTCTATGTGTATAAGATTTTGTAGCGTGTAGCAGTGGTATCCCAGTGCCTAGTGGTAACGTGCTCGCTCGGGAAACCGAATGAACCGGGTTCAAATCCCGGGTCTCGCACCTCTGATATTTTCATGGGCGAATCATTTCCAAAATGATTAACACATGTCTT